TATATATATATCCTTATCTGCATATTTGTGCTGGGTTTGTGACTCAAACTATTGAAACCTGTGGGTCAGCATAGCAACTAGGATTAGCAGAAGGACATTAGCAATGGCATCCTCTATGTTTCTCTCTAGAAAGGTTTCTTCTGAGGATCAATATCACTACACTTCTCAGTGGACCACAGGAACAAGGAAAACAAATTATGAGCATGCAACATGTGCCTGATGATGACATTACCTGTATAAATGTGGCTAAAGTCTGTTAAAGGTGTACGCCATTGTTTTAATACCATTTTTTGCTATTTTCTAAGCTCTAAAAAATGTAATCTGTCGCACCTGTAGCTGAGTCAGATTGTTGTACAGAAGTCATATTGGGAACTAGAGGTGGCAGCAGCAGTGGCAGCTTCAGCAGCAATTTGCACATAGAGTGGTCACATGCAGGCAGACAAACATCCGCAGCGTTCTCTGAGTAACTAGTGTATCATTGCAGCACCATGTTACTCAATCATATGCATCACTGCATACAATCACTAAACTGATTCAAGTTCCATTATTTAAATTAAGCTTATCAAAATGAATTATATTGGACTATATCAATAACCTCCCCTTCTCTGGCAGCATGCTTATGGGTATTGTTAATTGGATTACAGTAGTCTGAATCTCGGGCATGATGTCTGGAAGGGAAGGTTGGCATAGGCCTGTAGCCCTGTCACATAAAACAAAATAATATTAATAATAATACAGCCCAACACAATAATTTTCAACTAGTCTGACTTCAATAAACAAAAAAAAAGGAACAATTAGGCTTAAGTCACATATAGCTAGGCCTAGTATGGTTTCAGTAGGGTGCTAGCCTAGCCCTTATGACTAAGGGGATTGTAGTGTTGCCTTATAGCTCTTGGGTCTTGATTCAGTTCCCATCAAGGACACCATCTGCATGGGATATATTTTATTGTGTTTCCTCTGCTTTGATTTCCTACTACAGTCTAAACTTATGCCCATCGGCCGAAATTAATTTAAAGCGGTTCATTGATCTGAGAGGATAGGCATTCATACAAAGGTTATGTTCCAGGAGAAGGAATGGAAGTGCAGTGGAGAGGAGAAGGCCATTGCTGTTCCATTCTGGGGAAACAGTAGAGATTAGGCCAGATTTTCTATCCTGCCTAATTGTTGTTAAGGGTTGTGGTTATAGGGAAGGCATATAATGAACATCCACTGCTCTCTGCATGATTGAATAAAGTTTAAGTAGGTGAAAAGCAAATGATCACAAGTTATGTTGTATATTGTGTTCCCTATGACCAAATGCACTGCCCGTTCATGAATCCCTTTAACATGTTAGATTGCAGTGTCAGCAGACAGCTGATCCTTGTATTCAGCAACTGTTTCCCTCCCGCTTGTGTTTGTCCTAAGGCCAGGAAACAATGTGCTGCCATAATCCTGAACGACTGTTTTTTCAGTCTCATTCTAAATCTCTTTCCAGTGAAGCTCCCTGTCCTGTGATCAGTTGTACTTGCAACTGTGCTAATATTGCCTAAAGGTAGATCTGTGATTGCCAAATAAGACAGTAATTGAGAAATCTCCAGATAAAACGAAAAATTAGTTTACAAAAAAATAAGTTTGGTAAGTTTACAGATGTTTTTCATTTGCGTTTTCATACATTTTTAAGGCATTGACGTCTTTGTGGGTTTTACTAAAAGGTTGTTTTAAAGTTAGAACACACATTACTGTGCCTTAGCATGCACTACAATTCAGTCCTATGGGCCTCTGTCATGTGTGTTTATGCAGAAACATCCTTTTTTTTCCCCACTTTTCAGGACAGCGTTGTGATCTGAAGAGCCTACGTAGAAAATTGTTTTTACGCAATGAAAAAAGGAATTTTAAGGCAGGAAAATTAACATGTAAATGGCCCTTGCTTTGTTATTAGTTACAATAGATACATAGATACATATTTATAGGATACCTTGCATGCAAATACAAGTTCTGCTCCTTTTTTTTAACCCTCCGCCCCCCTCTCCCAATAAGAAACATAAAGTGAAATAAGAAAAAAACATTAGAAGGAAAAAATAAAAACGCCTAAATGAAAAATATCAGTTTGCAGTGTGTGCAAATATATATCATGTGCAAATCCAGTCCCCGTATTGTGCAACTGGTACCAGAAAAATCCCTCCAAAGTGCTCTTCAATCTCCACCATATTCACCCCCAGGAGTACAACAATAAAGGTTAAATTGGCCATATAATGTTCGAATTTCAGCCCTTTCCTGTTGACACGACCAAAATGTAACCAGTGTGTGGCCCCCTCGGGGTGCAACCCCCCCCCCCTATTCGACAAACAATCCAATAAATCATGACCAAACAGCCACTGCAGTCAATCAGTAGTTCAGGTATTCCGACAGTTGCACAGCCGTCAATGAGGAATACAATAGCTGCGGGGGATATTCTCCTTTCCATACTGGATGGGGAATAATTGGTGTGGATGGGATAATTGATCAGTTTATAGCCAGCTCCCCAGATGGAAATGACCAATTACCTGGATGAAATGGTCTTGAAAGCATTGTTCTTAAACCCAGAACTGGCCTTCTTCCTTCACAGGTTTTGGATTATGTTCCCTCAGTAAATATACAGGGCAGGAAGAGGGGTAATCATAGTGTTACACATATATTGCAAATGAATGAAAACACTTGCTCCAATCTCCATCAGAATGCATGCCCTGCGCCCCTTCTGTGCATGATTATATCACCGTCCATTGACTCCGCCCAAATGATTTTCATTATTTTGTTGCACAAAGGTTTTTTTAGTGCACAATTGTACAGTATACACATTTTTTATATAATATTATTTGGCAATGCAAGAAGAACATTAGTCACCTATTAAATTCACATCACACTTTGAAAGGCTGTCTAGTGATTTTAAAAGAAATTGTGTTAAGCACATCATTAGGTCCGAGGTAAAGGAAAAGCAGGTATTTTAAATTCATTGAATAGCTTAAGAATATATTGAAATCTGGTAAATTGTCACTTATGTTAATTCTTTTTCTTAATATTATTACTCCCAATTTAAATAGAATGACTTGCAAGCAGCCAATAAAAAAGAAATTGGAGTTGAATTACCTTTAAAAAAAACTTGTCCAGTGGCATCCACTATTTATTTTCTTCTCTGTGGATGGACCTGCTAGGAAAGACAGTTTACCCATTTTGCATCAACAAACTCGTCCTAGCCTAGCAGTTCAGTGCCAGTTGTACAGACCCATAGTGGATGAACCGCAAGTGCCCAGTACAGTGTTCTACCTGCAACAATAAGGACCCAGCAGGTCTGTACTAGCAGGCAGGGCAACAGTCACAAAGTTGTGTGGTATTTCAGCAAGGCCTGGATAAAAATAATGTTCAGTAAAATTCTTACTGGCCCTCGCTGTAGATTCCCTTCATGGTCAAATGCTGAAACAAATTGGCATCTAAATGAACTCGATTAAAAAAAATGTGGACTTCAATGTATTACTTTTATACAGTATAAACTTTACCTTTATGCATTAGCTTTATGTAGACTTTCCCTCTATGTTTTAGCTTCTTGTGGACATAAGCAGTTACAGTAGTTCAAATAATTACATAAGTAACTGGACCTTCACACTGCTAGTATAGTTAGGTAGACGTCAAGTGTGATTTATTAGATTGGCAAAAAAGGGACATTTGGCCTGCAACCAGCCAGATAATATTTAAATTTTCCCATTGCAGGTTTAAGATTGTGACTTAAAGAAAACCTCTCATTAGGAAAACAATATGTAGACTTACCCCATAGGGCTTACTAGGCACTCTCCAATACCTATCTTTGATCTTGCTCTGATCTCTGGAGCCACTCAGTACAAATAGCAGTAGTACTGGTTATGGAGGAACAACATGCCTGCTGCCTCCCTGGCAATGCAATGTGTTTGGCTGGACTAGCATAACTTCAGGTTGCAGCAGTCCCATGTAAGCATAAAATATAAATTATGCAGCTGACAAACAGCTAGGTATTGTGACTTTTCCTGTCGGCCACAATGGGGATTGGCACAAAAGCAGAGCTAAAGGTCAGTGTGAGAACTAGAGGGTGCCTAACACAGAGTGGGGATTATTTATGACGGGCTTATTTTACACGATTGGCCACTTTTTTTGCTTTTATATATCGGGCACACTGTATTAGAATAAAGGGTTCTATTCTACCCTGTTCATAAAATTCCGTATAGCAATCTTGCAATGTGTAGTCAGTAAGGGCTGCTTTGCTTCAGAAGTTGCAGGCTTCCAATTTTCCTTCTCTGCTCACGTTGGCTTTTCCTCCTCACGCATTTGTATTACATTAGATTTTCCCCAAAGCAGTACATATGCTCAACCATTCTAGTAAGTTTCAGTTTTCTGTGTTTCTTTCTAGGCCAGAGCTCCAAAGACGTCACTTCATCTCCGAGCATTGAGAGTTTGCCTGGAGGCCGTGACCACACAGACTCTCCTTCGCTGTCAGCCGGGAAGAAGGATTCCTTTTTCAGCAACATCTCCCGTTCTCGTTCCCTCAGCAAGTCTCAAGGGAAAAGAGAATCTGTAAGTTTTGTCTCATAGCGCTCCCAGCACTTAAGTTGCTTCAGGTTTTTCACTTTATTGGTCAGACAGTAACATATACTTATGATGATAATATTTAAAGGGAAACTGTTATGTGTTTTTAGTGAGAGCACATATGGTGTCAGTCAAACAACTTTAAGTACAGAACTCATTATCAGGCTAAGTGTCATCTGATGAAGGGACCCTGTGAGGTTTTTTAAAGAAGATACTGTGGTGTGCTGGTAACTTCTTCTTTGCTATGTGAACACGGCGCCATCCACATGTTAGTACAGCACTCAACGAGAAGACAAGGGAACATAGCTGTCAGGTGTGTGTGAGGGGTTATCCCTTAGCTCCCTTGTAGTGAATCACAGTTAATATCAATGCAAACATGATCTAAAATAAACATGTTGATTCTTGTGCAAAACTCTTTTCCAATGAGGCCCCCTTCATTAACCAAACTTACAATCCCGTGTCGATCACCCTTAATGTGTCTGCTAACTTCACCCTCAAGTGAAAACCTGCTTACCATTATAGATGGATCATATAATTTAATTAAGATCATGCAGGCTGTTTTGCCATTATAGCGATCGCCAAAAGGCAACCTCCTGCTCTTTCTCCTCCAGTAAGTCACATAAAGGACAGCTCAAAAGAGAATGAACACACCATAGTATTTTTAGTTTTTTTAAATCCTTAATAAAACAAAGCTAAAAACCCTTACATTTCATGTGGACATTAGCATACAAATGAGATTTGAATCCTTTATGCTTAAAAATGCTGGCACCACATGCCCTACAGAGACTTCTGCAAAAGGACCTCCCAGAGTGATGTCATCACTATAAGCTTTACCATAGATATTAACATCATTCAATTTAATTAGGGACATATTTGGTGTAAGTACTGTAAACTCCCAGTACCCAAATGTTTATAGCCCCTTGGCACTTGGTGTGTGGCCCTCTGGGCCCCAGCAGACAGTTGTCTGTTTTCCTTACCTAGATACTAGCTCAAGCCGGTGAAGGAAAGTATTACTTAGACGGGTTTCTAGTAGTTTAGTGGTTTGGTTTACTTCTTTTACATGATTCTACTATTTCTGTGCTGTCCATTCCTTTTCCTCTTTTTATATTCTTCTCTTTTATAAATTAATCTTCCTTAGAGAATTATCAGATGTGGCACACAAGGGGGGTGTAGAGAGCGCAAATGTGAAAGCAGTGATTTGTAAAGGCGTGTTATAGCAGTTATCGCTAGCAGTCTCATGTAACATGTCTCCAGTGTATGACTGTCTTCCCCAGTTTCCAACAACACTTATAATATGTTTGCAATCTCTGACCGTATCCTGTTACATGTCTACACTGTCTGTCAGTTTTCTGTGGTATTACATTAGCTAAATATTATATGCGGCCCCTTTGGTGATATGAGGGGTCGCAATTGATGCCCCTTATACCACTGCTATAAGGTTTATCTGAAACAGGTTTTTTAATGGGTTTTTACCTTTTTATAACTGATCATTGTGCTATATTTTCTTTGTCATATTTCATACAGATTACAGAACCTTTCAATACAATGCCCTTAAGCACTTCCAGGTCCTGATGCTAAACTCTGGTAGCAACCCATTGAGTAGCAGTAGCTTGTAGTAACTTTTTTACCATCATCCATCATGAATGTGATGGTACCAGTACTTTCAGCACTGCTTTAAAAGGCCGTCTGGCCCTTTACATTTTTCAATAATATATTTTCCTGCTGGGGGTTTTAAAATACCCACATATGATTATAGCAACCATGCTTCCACCACTGTCTCTTAGGGTAGATAGAATCAACTGGGGAGGGGGAGGTTGTATAGGTAGAGAGAGTCCAAGCTGCAGTACTGTGTATATAAAGGAGAACTATGAGGTGAGTGCTTTTCACTCATCCTCATAGTTCTAGCAGACCTGTGACAATGAAACTGTCACAGGTCAGCTCAGTAGATCGGGAAGTGAGCGAACACATACCGGTGTTTGCTCACTTCTCGATCCTGTCACGGCTCTCTGCCGTGACAGGCGAGGGACTGGATTCCCCGCTCCGATCCTCCAGCGCTGACTGGCGGAACGGATGGGGGAGGGAGCGGGTACAGCTGGCTCTGCCTCTAGATAGGCAGAGCCAGGTGTCACTCACGCAGCTGGGCGGATCAAGACATAATTGTCGGAATCCGCTTCAGCTGCGACGTCTCAGTATACCGCGAGCTGTAGCTCTCGGTATACTGTGCTTAGGGTGACGGGAGGACGCTAGTTTGTGTCCTCCCGCTACCCTAAGGAGAACTATGGGGAAAAGCCCTAACCCCATAGTTCTCCTTTAAAAGTCTTATTTTAAGTAGTTAATTAAAAATGTTTCTTTCTTACTTTTCCAATGCATTTAACGAATTACAGTATACTACGTGTGTGTATGTTTATGTCAATGTAGATGATATGCTATAATGTATGGCTGAAGACTAGTGACCTATCATATGTCTTTAATAACAGCACTGAGTCACCCTGATTACTAATTGAAATGTTTCTTCAGTGTTTCTACAAATATATCAATTCTCCAGTTGTACCAGGAGGTATTAAATGACAATAAGTCACTGAAAAAATGGAGCAGAGTTATGTAATCTTTACAGGAACCCTGCTATAAGTTTGAGCATTATGTAACAGAAGATTAAAGTATTAGTCTTAATGGAAAGAAAGATATTTGATCCAATTTAGTCAAACGGGACATACATTCTAGACCAGCGGTCAACTGTTTGGGGCCAAAAGTGTGGCCTGTGACAGTCCAGAGGGCTGCACAATAGCTTATTTTTTTATTATTTGCTATTATTATTAGGGTGGCATTAATAAGATAACAAAATAAGTCTTCTTCCTTTATTTTGAACAAATTGGTGCTGTTCTAGAATGCTGCTTTTTGTTAAATTCTCTCTCCCAACTTCTTCCCTGATTGCCTAAGTGGCAAAACTTTTCCCCTTTCTGATGTTACACCCAGCAAAACTTAATCTGTTTGTCTAATTAGTGTACCATTATTATGACATTTTATTTATTTTTATTTCTTTCTTAGCTCACAACCTTCTTGCCTGCCAATCCAATCTGGCCAGGTCCTCATTGTTGCTGTCCTCATACAGTTTGTCATTTTTTTTGCTGAATTAATTTGCTGTGTACATATAGGAACCTGCACTTGGTCCATTCACCTAGAGCCAAACTGCATGCAGACTAAGGTGTTGGTCCAAGGTGTACTAATGTAGAGTGGGCAAGCTGTATTTTTGATCCTCTCTGCTTCCGGTCTCAGTGGCTATGACATTCAGTCCTGTTAGTTGGATAACACAGGTAGCCAAGCAGTTTGAGTAGTAGTGAAACGCCACTTGCCAGTTGGCCTAAAGGGAGGCAAAAAAAACCAAAATAATAAAATCTGTCCCTAATTGCTGGACCAGGTAAAGCCCACTAAAGGCGCTAACACTCAAGGCCTGATCTGAGGTCTATAGCAAAGCAGGCTGCACAATGAGTTCTGATGGTCTGCATGTGGCCCACAGGCTGCATGTTGGGCACCAAAGTTTTAGACACTCCAAATTGTCTGTTTTCCCCAGCATGGGTATGGAAAGTGATTGGATATATTTCTGATAAGGAAGGATTCAGCAACAAAAGCCCCTTAATTTAGTTGAATGGGGAAGGATGGGGATGTCTATCAGGCCTTTATTGTTTTCTGTGTCTTTCTATCCCACCTGTACCTCTCATTTCTTGTCTAGGAGACAGGACATAGGGAAAAATGTCCCCAGTGAGGACACATATAGCAACAATAACTTGACAAAAGATCTGCCTCCCTCCCAAAAAAAATTTGAAAAAAGTGTTGGCTGGGTTTAAATCAAAATACTTGTCTGTAGTAGAAAATGCAAGACAAGGTTTTTTTAAAAAAAAACAACACATTTATATATGTAAATTATATCTGATACATAAATAATTTGCTATGCCCTAATATAATATTGAACAATTTTACAGGCTTCAAGTACTATCAATTTGCAAGCTTAAATGAGAACTATGGGGGTCAGTGTTTTTCCCCATAGTTCTCCTTAAGGGGAACGGGAGGACACAAACTAGCGTCCTCCCGTCACCCTAAGCTCAGTATACCGCGAGCTACAGCTCACGGTATACTGAGACGCCGCAGCAGGGACGGATCTCGACATTACTGTCGAGATCCACCCAGCTGCGGGATTGACAGCTGGCTCTGCTTATCTAGAGGCAGAGCCAGCTGTGCCCGCCCCCTCCCCCGTCCGTTGCGCCAGTCTACGCTGGAGAATCGTACAAGGGAGGAGGGGATCCCTGCAGGGAGCCGTGAGTGACAGTCCAGGCTCTCTGCAGGGATAGATCGAGAAGTGAGCGAGCGACGCTATGTGTTCGCTCACTTCCCGATCTATTGAGCCGACCTGTGACAGTTTCATTGTCACAGATCGGCTAGAACAATGAGGATGAGTGAAAAGCACTCACCTCATAGTTCTCCTTTAAATACACAGTACTGCAGCTTGGACTCTCTCTACCTATACAACCTCCCCCTCCCCAGTTGATTCTATCTACCCTAAGAGACAGTGGTGGAAGCATGGTTGCTATAATCATATGTGGGTGTGAGTGATTTTCACTCGCCTCATAGTTCTCCTTTAAATATATTACATAAAATGTCAACATAACCTACGGCTAGCATACATTGCATATGTAAGCTGTTTCCCCTCAGTACACTGTAAAGTGACCAAACACTGTGACATTTCAGTACACAGTTACATTTAATAAAACTCTCACTGCTTTACTTCCTGCATCTTTTAGTTTTGCCAGTTACAATATAAATGTTTCCTGTCTGTGGCATTTTATTTTTAGTGCATCTTAGCTGTTCCTGGCCAAACC